CATGAAGGCAGTTCACAAAACATCCAATTCAATTTATGGTTTCAGGGGCAATCAGTGCAAACCAAGATACGAATATTGTGAACTGATATTGCCATGATATCCCCTTAATATAGCGTTCTATAGTTTTTCCCCCCTTCCATACAATAGGGTTTGATTCTTAGAGATGGCTTGGAAAAGTCCCTGCATATTTTTTATCAAGGTTTTTCAGAAGGGGTTTGCCATTGTCTCCTTCTTAGGGCTGAGAGAGAGTGACTAGCTAAGGTCACAACACTGGTCTTGTGCCTAAGGTAGGACTAGAATTCACAGTCTCCTGGTTTCTAGCCTAGTGCCTTAAACACTATACCAAACTGATTCTCTGTAGCAGATTACATGCAATCAATAAATTTACCTCATTTTTCTAGTAATAGGAATCTTTTCTCTGTTCTCTTCATTATTATTATCTTTTGTTCTTTTGCCTCATCTAATGGCAGTGTTGGTATTTATTTCCCAGGGTTTTCTTTTAATTGTTCAAGAGCTGTCCCATCTGTGCAGTTTGTAAAATATAACAAGACGTACACAACAAGTTTAAAGTAGTCCGTGATTAATCTTGAATGAATTATTCGTGGCTGCTGATTAATCTGTTTTGAATCTGCTTCCCTGGCAATTTTCAGTCACATAAAACATTTGAATAGATAACTCTATTGTATAAAAATGCGCAGGATAATAAATGGATCATTAATCTTGATGTGTGGCTGGTTGTTAGGTTCTGTTGCGTAGCATAGGGGCTCCCTCAGAGGTGGTATTCAGCAGGTTCTGACCAGTTCGGGAGAACCGGTAGCGGAAATTTTGAGTAGTTCGGAGAACCGGCAAATCCCACCTCTGACTGGAGATTTTACAGTATCCTTCCCCTGCCACGCCCACCAAGCCACGGCCACAGAACCGGTAGTAAACAAGTGTGAATCCCACCACTGGGCTCCCTTCTCTTATGAGGCTGAGATTCAATCTTCAATGTGGTGATTCTCACATTTGACCGTTTGCGGACCTGCTTTACCAGATTTCCAGTGTATTTTGTATTTCAGATCATTTGTGCGTTTATAATAATAAACAAATGTAAAACAAAAAGGCAAATGTACCAAACCTTTGTTTGGTTAGTGACTAACCCCTCCCCACCCATGCACACCCACCCAGCCACACCACAGCAGCCAGGGGGTCAAGAGAAGGAGGAGGAGGGTCGCCTGAAGAGAAGCCTCTGCCACGGCTGATCGTTTCTCAGCCAGCTCAGATTTCTTGCTCACACAAACACACACGCACACGCACACAAACACGCACACAGACAGAGTCATAGAGGGGGGTGGGGAGACCAGCTGACGGGCGAGTGCTTTCTCTGAGCCTGACCCCCGGGGGTGGGAGGGCAAGGTTTGGCGGGGCCAGCCCCCTTCTTCTGCTGCCCTGAGCTTCTTAAAGCCGTGGCTGGGCACTGTGGGCCTGTTGCAATTTCTGACATCCCCTCCTCCCGGATCCCATTCCCACCCTGCCAGCCCTCGTATTAATGAGGCTGGCATCGGTTGTGAGGCATGCCCAGCACCAACAAGGGCCGGAAAGTACGCCCAGCACCAACAAGCAGCAAGAGTGAGGCGCCGGAGAATCAATCCCAGCCACTTCTCCATCCCCCGCCATCACCATTACCTTCTCAGGCCAGGCAAGGGAGGGCAGGGGGTGGGGCCAGCCAGTGATGGGACAGGGAGCTACAGCAGAGGGTCCAAAGAGCCACATGCAGCTCCAGTGCCACGGGTTGCCAACACCCGGGTTAGTCTCTGTAATCAATACAGAGGCTCCTTGACTTATGCTCATAATGGAAACTACCTATGATGGTCATAAAGCAGGTCACCCAGGTGACCAACCTGATTTTACAACCTTTTTTTGCAGCAGTTGTAATGCACGTGCAGTGGTTATTAAGTGAATTCACCGTTCGCTATGTTTTGCTGAAAACTGAAGGTACAAATTTCAACAAAAATATAAATCTGTCATGTGGGAAGCTGCAAACAGCTTTAAATTCTGGCTGGATGCTATGACTGCAGGGGGGTTTGTTGTAACTTCAAATGGTCATAGTGACAGATTCATAAGTTGAGGACTATTATAATTAAATGTAACAGTTAAAAAGACTTGGAGAAAACCTAAGTTCAGTCACTAACAATAGAGCTCCCAATGACTTGGAGTTAGCTCAAACCAAGAGTGTTGTTTTGTTTTAATTTAATTAAATTAATTTCATCTTATTTTTATTGATTTTATTGATTTTCTATTATTGCCCAATTCAGCTAAGAGACTCTGGGTGGCTTTTATCTTAGTTTTATCCCTGAGACAAAACACCCTGAAGTGGTTTGGGTTAAGAGATAGATAAAAATGCAACATATAAAAGACATTGGAAGTTTACATATTTACAGTCCAATGGTTTACAAATACAGCATATAAAATACATGTTTGTATTAAAAAGTGTCAGTGTTATTGAGATGAATAACATGAAATAACATCAGGTGGTTTCTATAAGCCATTATTGATAAAATGTCTTGCAAAAAATCATATGGACTTTGCAATATAAAGAAATGCACAGGCCATCACCTTGTTTATGTCAACATTCCAAATGGCTGACAATGATATTTTAAAAAATCACAGAATGTTGGTTTATATGACTAGAGTGAGTAATGTTAAAGGACTCTGTATTAATCCTTTATGGATAAATTTTTACTTTTTTCATTACAATCACTTATTTCATCCCCATTCTGTATATTCTCTTTTGATTTCATTAGCACTTCATGGGTTACACTTTATCATATTTTATTGTGTTGGAAGAAATATCCTTCTGGGTTCAGTTCCAAGTAGAGAAGACAGACACTGGAAACATGGTGACTGCTTGGAAAGATGGTTTAATGGTGGACAGGATCACATGCCTTGGAGCTCCTGGGTGAAAATGGGAGAGAAGCTGAGAATCCCTTGGTTATATAACCTCTGTTGGGCGTCACCTTAGTGTTTCCTATTCCCATGCAAGAAATGTATCTCATTGGTTGTCAGACTCCCAGAGGCGGGGGGAGGAGGGTCTTAGCTAACTTTGTAGGCTTTGTCTGGACCACATGGCTTCACCTGAGTGCTGGCTGATGCAATCTTCCCAGGCCAGGTGGTGGGTAGAGGGCTTTGTTATGTAGAACACTCTGGCCAAGGCCTTAATGGCCCACCAATTTACAAAGGTGGGGGTGAGCTTCCGCTTCTAAGTTTCTACTCTTTTTAGGGGAAACTTTCTGCCTTTTTAATATTTCCTAGGATATTTCATTTTTCTAGGAGAGGGATGGGTGCTAACTTCCAACAGTTGTTATATTTCACTGCTTTTTTTAAAAAAGTTACAGAGGTGTTGGAAGAAATATCTATCTGATTCAGTTCCAAGTGGAGAGAAAGACACTGGAAATATGGAGGCTGTTTGGAAAGAGGGTTTATTGATGAACAGGACCACATAGGTTTGAGGTCCTATGCAACACAACACAGGGGTATTTATACTCTCTCTTGGGCCTTGCTTCCTGTTCCTGTGCAAGAAATTATTCTTTCGGTTGTCCAGACTCCCAGGAGGCTACGCAGGGATCATAGCTGAGGTTCTGGTTGAAGCTTGCTGGGTGATGCAATGAGGGGGTTTGGTTGTGCCATGCGGTGAGCTCTGCTGATAGATAATCCTGATATGTCATGGAGGGTCATGTCTTACTTAATCCCATCACCCTGTAGATGAAGGTCTAATTGTCTTGTAGTTGGGCTGGCCCAATCCTTCTCAATGGGCACCAGATATCTCCTGAGGGCAGGGAGCTGTAAAGAGCTGCTCTTTGTCTTTAAAAACACGTTTCTCCTTTTCCCACCCAGGGAAATGTCATATATTCTGCCTTTTTAATATTTCCTAGTGTTGGAAGAAATGTCCATCTGTGTTCAGTTCAAAGTGGGAAGAAAGGCATTGGAAACATGCAGACTCCTTGGAAGGATGGTTAATGGTGGATAGGGCCACATGGTTTGAGTTCCTGGGCATAAAATGAATACATGGGTGAGAGAGGGAGAGAGAGGTCTACCCTCCGTTGGGCTTTAAAGTTGCTTCCTGCGGCAAGAAATGTATGGATTGGTTGTCAGACTCCCCTGGGGCCACGCTGGGCTAACCTTGTAGGTTGCCAACTAGAGAGAGTTCCAGGCTTGGTTGAATCTTGTTGGGTGATGCAATGAAGGGGCTCTGGGCAATTCCTTTTATGGCTTAATGGCTTGGCTCTGACTGAGGGCTGATCCCATCACCCTGGAGCTTTGGTCTTGTGGATAGGATGGCTCAGTCTTCCTGGGTCTATTACCAAAGGTGCGGGGAGATGCTTTCCAAGAGCGCGTTTCTCCTTTTCTCATCCAGGGAGGTATAATATTCTGCCTTTTAAATATTTCCTAGAATATTTTATTTTTCTAGAAGGGTGGGGGTGCTAACTTTCTACATAGGGGGAAAAAAAATCACCGAAGAGAAAAGAAGTTTAAATTATAAGCATTTTAATGTTTAAACATTAAAAGAAACCTGAAAAGAAAAATGGAAACCGATCCTATGAAAGCAAATAAATACCTTCCCAACCATCAAGAGCATTTATCATAGTCTACCCCCGCCCCCCTTAACCAGGCTTACTTCTCCAGCACCACCATGACCCGTGTAGGGTCTCCTCACGTTCCCCAAACCCAACAACCACCCGCTCCAGCCGGAGGGCAGGAGCAGAAGCCGACTTCCCAGAGCGCATGCGCTGGTGGGGCCAGCCTCCTCCGGCCCGGCAGCCTCAGCAACTCCGTCGGGGAGGGCGGGGCCGCGCGGTTGCCTAGCGACGGCGCCCGGGCGGCCTAGTCCAGAAGCCGTCTCAAGTGGAGCCCGGCGGCGGCGGTGGTTCTTCCCGGAGCCCGGAGCCGATTCGCCTTCCGGCTGCTAAGCCTCGTGCGGCCGCCCTCATGCTGTGGATGCCGCTGGGCGGGAGCGGCCACCACGAGGCCCCCCAAACGGAGACGCCGCCGCCGCTGCTGCCGGCAGACCCAGAGCGGGCAGCTGCTTCGGCGAGGTGGACTGGTGAGGAGGAGGAGGACGGGGGACTCTGGCTGGAGGAAGCGGGTGTTGCTGTTCTTCTGAGCTCTCCTGGCCCCGGGCCGGGACACTCTACCTGGCAGAGTTCCAGGGCTTGAAAACAGCGGGGGGAAAGGCTTTTCCGGGTCTGGCTGGGATTGCTGGGGTCGCCGAGTTGTCTTCATGTTGGATGGGGCAGGTGATGGTTACCGCTTTTTTTCTTCCCCTTCAGAGAATTGAGTGGATATCCTGGTTTTCCCTCCAGGGAAAAGTGACTTATGACCATTTTTCACACAACCGTTGCAGCGTTATTTCCATGGTCCCGAGATCCAGTCAGACAGTTGACAACCCTGACTCACATTTATGAAGGTTTGGGGATTATGTGATCTCCTTTTGCGACTTTCTGGCAAGCAAGTCAATGGATAAATCAGATTCACTTAACAAACATGTACAGTAACTTAGTGATTCAGCAACTGTGGCAAGAAAGGTTGTAAAATGGTGCAAAACTCACTTAAGAAATGCCTTGCTTAGCAACTTAAATTTGGGCTCAGTTGTGGTCGTAAATCTAAGACTACGTGTATTACAGACAGACAGACAGACAGACAGAGTGAGTTAAAAAGTCACAGAGTTAGTCATAAAAGAAACGAACTTTGGGTCTGAAGTCCGGGCCTTTTCAAGGTCCGGCTAGGGACCTTTGGAAGGAGCCCAGGAAGTGGCTTTGATCTCTGGTGGGGGAACTGGCAGGAGGAAGCCCAGGGTCTCTAAATGAGACCTGGCCTTTGGTGGGTCTTTCATGGGCATTGATTGATTGCATTCATTCATCCACTGATTGCATTGATGAATTAAGATTCCATTTGCTGGTGACTGAAGCGTTTGACGCCCATATGTGGTACCAATAAAGGAGAATATTTGGAGCTCAGGGTTGAAAGGAGGGGTCCTCAGTGCTCTCTGAGATTGCTTGTTTTATTTACCCAAACTAGGCAATGGCATCAGTGCTATTAAGGAATGCAGTTTGCTATCAGTTTGCATTCTCCTTTATTGGATTGAGATCTGGCCTTTGGTGTGTCTGACTTGGTTGTGTGTATTGTGTTGACTGATTGATAGCATTGACTTGATTTATATAGCCTCCCATCTCGCAAAAGTAATGCTGAGCGGCTAACAACAATTTTAAAAAAATCATAAAAAAACAAATAAAAAGCAGATTATAAAACCAGGTTAAAAAGCATAAAGTCCCATAAGCAGGTGAATTGAAAAAATATTCACAGCATTCAGGATAACAGCTGAATGGGCTTACATCTGTAGATGTTAGGCAAGGTATTTTAAAGGTCATCACTGGCAAAACTGTTAATATATCATTCGTTTTGTCTGCTGATCTTTAGAAAAGAAAAGAATCACCCAACAAGGCCCTGAAGAAAGCAAACAAATCCTTACTGGAAGAGAACAATTACTTGAAGCTGCAGCTTGAACTGGTTATGGACATGCTGACAGAGACCACAGCACGGCTACACTTAGTAGAAAAAAAGCTGGACACTACTGCTTGGCATTCAAATATGAAAAAGTCAAATAACAAGGTGCTGATGCTTTGAGCTTAATAAACAGCTTAGATATAAGACCTAAAATAATTGTATTTCTGAAGTACTGACACAATACAATCTTGCAAAAAATAAAAAATCATGGGAATCCTTGGAGCTGAAATATTGCACTACAGCTAAAATAACTAGAAGAAACGTTTGCACCTTATTATTCATGATATGGCAAGAATAGTTCTGTGTCAAGAATCCTGTGGAGTATATGACTTCTGTGGTGTATTTACCCAACTCTTTAGATATCGGTGACAGAACTGCAATATCATCTGTTTTGCAGTACAGGTAGTCCTCAACTTACAACAGTTCATTTAGTGACTATTCAAAATTACAACAGCACTGAAAAAAATGATGTTTTTCCACACTCAGCAGCATCTCCATGGTCACATGGTCACATGATCAAAATTCAGTCGCCTGGCAACTGACTTATATTTATAATGGTTGCAGTATCTTGGGGTCATCTTTTCTGACATTCTCACAAGCAAAGTAAATAGGGAAGTCAGATTCGCTTAATCGTGTTACAACAACTGCAGTGATTCGCTTAACTGTGGCAAGAAAGATTATAAAATGGGGCAAAACTTTTAACAAGTGTCTCAGCAACAGAAATTTTGGTCTCAATTAGTAGTAGTGGTCATAAGTCGAGGACTACCAGTATTAGTTTCCAGCAAGAACCATACTTAGAATAAGAGATAAAAAGGAACAACCAGAATACAACTAGTCCTCGACTTACAAAAGTTCACTTAGTGACCATGCAAAGTTACAACACTGAAAAAAAATGACTTATGACCATTTTTCATTGTTACAACTTTGAAGCATCCCCCTGATCATGGGATCAAAATTCAGATGATCGGCAAGTGGTTCATACTTACAACCGTTGATGTGTTCCAAGGTGATATGATCACCTTTTGCCACCTTTTGACAAGCAAAGTCAATGGAGAAGCCAGATTCACTTACCAACTGTGTTACTAACTTATCAACTGCAGTGATTCATTTAACAATTGTGGCAAGAAAAGTTGTAGAATGGGGCAAAACTCTCTTCACAAAAGCCTCACTTAGCAACAGAAATTTTGGGCTCAGTTGTGGTTGTAAGTTGAGGACTACATGTATTTATTTCATTTGTGCAGAGCTTACTTACCTAAGATAGCTTGCAGCCAGGATTAAAAGCTGCTAGTGTTATGGAATGACCACGATCAGTTTGTATCGCTTCAGTGGGGAATTGGACTAGATGACCTACAAAGTCCCTTCCAATTCTGTTGTTCTCTGTTAGAGCAGTGGTTAGAAAGTGCAGGGTAGTAACAACAGCAGGCAAGAACACAACAAAATATCTAGGTTTGCTGGAGAGTGCCTTTTGCAAGAAAATGTTCCCTGAATATATGTCAGATCCGTGTATCTGTCATTTATTCAGTGGAAGAAGAAAAGGGCAGGGCGAGGAGACTGATAAAGAAATCTTTTCTTGATGTAACCTGAATATATTTAATCTTATATCAAATTTGTATAACCCACACATGATACAATGGAGGAAGAGGCACAGCCAGGAGATGAGAAGATCATAAATATTCCACAGTGAGATGTGTCCTGGGAATCTCTGGAAAAAGTTCGTTCTAAAAAGTGGGTGGGGGGAAATTAGGTATGCCCTGGGAAATGTGAGAAAGATCAACAGAAGGGGTGGGGGGGAATTAACATACTGGCTTTTGTTTCACTAAATACACACCGAGATAAGAGGAGCGGTTTCTAAACTCCCTTATCCCTGTATGCCCCAGGGACCTCAGACGCTGCTTTGAACTCCTACATGAATTGTCTCATCTCAATAAAGGATTCCTTTTGATACGTTTGGTGTTCAGAAGTTCATTCTTGTTAATTGAACGGGGAAAAGTTCTGCAGCCTGACAATATGTAGCATGAGTCCTGGAAAGTTATTTCTCAGCATTGGGCATTCTTGCATAATTATTTCATGGCATCTTTGATTAGAGGCAGTAGATTCTGAAATCAGCAGCTTCTCTGACTATAAAATGGTTTGAACAGACAAAAGTGAAAATAGGTTTATCAACAAAGTATTAATTATGGTGGTTACACCACAACATTCATGATAGATTGCCTTTTCAAGATAGAATCTTTGTAAAGTAGCCTAATTACCCAGAGTTGCTGGGAGTCAGGCAGCATATAAATTTAATTATTACTCATAAAATGTGAACTATAGTATAAGACCACCACTTTTCAACCAGAAAAAAGGAATACAAGTAGTCCTCAACTTACGATCACAATTGAACTCAAAATTTCTGCTGCTAAGTAAAACATTTGCTACATGAATTTTGCCGCATTTTATGATCTTTCTAGCCACAGTTGTTGAGTGAATCACTGTAGTTATTAGTAATACGGTTGTTAAGTGAATCTGGCTTCCCCATTGACTTTGCTTATCAGAAGGTCGCAAAAATGGATCACATGTCCTCAAGACACTGCAACTGTCATAAATATGAGTCAGTTGCCAAGCATCTGAATTTTGATTACATGACCATGGGATGCTGCAACAGACAAGTGTGAAAAACAGTTGTAAGTAACTTTTTTTAGTGCTGCTATAACTTCGAACGTCACTAAATAAACTGTTGTAAATTGAGAACTTCCTGTAATTCCTGAATCTGTTTATAGTAAAAGATAAAACAGTATAACAGTAGCCAAAAGTTCACTGAGGGAGTAATACAATCAATAAAATTATCTCAGCTAATATTCATTTTAAGTAGACAATTCTTTACAACTGTAATTGAAAGCAAAAATAGTAGACTTCCCCCACTCCTTGGGAAGAGTTTTACTAAGAATTCATGTGATTAGTGGATCTTAATATTTGCCTTCAGGTTGGGCTTCTGATAAGCTTTGCAGTTGGGACAAGTTCTCATGGATGTGGATGATCACTTGATAGCGACTCAATTATTTTATTTCATAGGGACCACTGCTCTGAGAGAGGAAGGGAACCATGATTAGGCCATTCCATCTATGCCTCTAGTCTTCCCAAGACCCATGTTCCTTTGCTCTGACTTTCTGTAAGAAGTGGACATTGAATTAATGAGTTTATACCTTGGTTGTGCAGAACTGCTTTCTTCTGAAGAAATAATATTGTTTACGATGTCTTGCTTGGTCAAGAAATGATGTCTAACTTAGATAGCCAACACCTGTGGTCCTGTTCATGACCATCCTTCAAATGATATGGTAGCTTTTGTGAGATTGGATCTATACAAAATTTAAATGCTGGTGAGCTGGGTAATACCTTCCATTTGTTTTCAGTTCCCTCATCATATTGACCATCATAATCCTTTCCTGATTATTCATTTTCACTAACTGTATATTTAGTTTTGAGTAAGCTTTCATGTACAATTCAAAGATCATAATATGCACAGTACGATCACAATATGACAGAACCAGATTGTATTCTCAG